ATATTCTATGACAAAGAGTGTGCAGCACCTTTAATGTTCCTTTACGTTATTTCCTGTAATCTTCACCTTCATCTTTTTATTTCAATTATTAGTCTCAGTGGAATCTTGAGAAAAGCCCTTTACACAAATCTGATGAAAAAGGCTTATCATAAATTATAGTGAAGACCTGGAAGGTTTTAATTAGTATATAAAATTTAATATTCTGACAAAGCAGTTATTTAATCAAATTATGTTTGGGGGAAAAATTTCTAACCCAGGTGACTCATTTGTCCATATTTTGGGTAATATAGTGTCATGTTTCTTGATAGAATATTATTTCACTGTTTTATTTTTTATTTTAATGATTAGATTTTAAAACATCTTGCTTTTATGTCCAGTTTTCATGTTTTAAATGCATATTCTAACCAATTTCTTACAGCTCATGTTTAGGTACTGATATTGCATGCATACACTATAATTATAATTGCAACTGATTTACTATATTGCCTGAAATTTTGTTCACTTTAAGGACAAGTGATAAATCAGTATTTTTACACATGGATACAGAAGGGTAAAAAGAAGTTATTAGCAGCTAAGCCCCTTATTTTATATGTGTCATTTTGCTTATGTAATATCACAAAGCTGTAGCAAGAGAGATAGTAGTAGTTAACATTTTTTCCTTTTTTTTCCCTGTTTGCAGGCTTTTATTGTCAGATATCCTCTTTACAAACAGATGTAATTTTTTATGCGTGGTAGGCCATATTTAGCTTTATTTTCTGAGGAGTCTATTGTGCTTTAAACTGCATGTCAGACTGTGTACAGGATTAAACTGAAACTGCCTGAATTATTTGTAATAGAATTTGTGAGGATGGGTTTAAAACTTAATTACCCCAAAGTTATTAGAGTGCATTTTTTTTAATACACTCCTTTATCCAAGGGGATACAATGCAATTTTTTTTTCATTAAAATGGATGTTTTGCCTATACTTAATGAAATGGTTTTTTAACATTTGTAGGCATTTACATTAATTTCCTTTGGTCTGCCTAAAGAGTGAAATGGACCAGTATTATTAATATTTTTATTGCTTTATGCTAAACAAAAGGACTCCCAGTTTTTTTACTAATGTGAATGCCTTTTCACTGTATGTAGGACCAATATGGTCTTAAAATGTTCACCAAATTTCTATCCACAATTCTAAGAACCTTTTTTTAAACTGAAGAGTCAAGATCAGACTTATATTTGCTGCATGTTTAATTTCTCCCTGATTTTAATTTCTTTCTCTGCCTCTTACCTGTAAACTAAAAGAATCTTCACTAGCAGATTATCTGCAATATAGAGCAGCTTTTTCACTGACTCACTTTGGGTGCTTTAGCACTTCTTGGGTAAAATATTTAGAAGTCATAGGAAGCATCCTGTTTTAAAACAAAATCCAAATAAACATATTTGGCTGTAATTTCAGATTTTAGAACATGTACTTATAATTATGTAGCAATATATGTTTACAATATAATCTGCTACAATAATTTTAAGTTTGCTTCCAGAATTTACTGAAGAAAATCTTTGAGTTGTGGAAACATTTAACTGTTGCTCTTCTGTTTTCTGTTCTGGGGGAGTTAATTATTTTCTAGTGTCTTTGTAATGGCTAAAAGTGTAAATAAAGCATTTATGACCTGGTCCTTAATGTAGTTTTTATATGGCTTTCCTGATATCTTTTTCAGATATTGAAACCTTTTGCTTTGAAAGGGGAATTAAATATAGTAAAAAACATAAAATCATATAGTGCTGTTGCACTGCAATTTTTACTTTATGCGTATGGTCTTCCAAAGTTATTCTTTTATAAGTTCAGCTTCAGGACTGCCTTACCAAATCCTCTCATTGGTGAGCAGAAGTAATAGTGAGTCTTTATCCCCTCTTTTACATGGAATTACTGGATAAAGAACAAACATAAATATCTAGGATCTTTACACTCTACCTTGAGTTTGCTGACCAGGTTTGCAGCATTGCTTGGTGCCAAAAGTGTGCAGCAGTGGGAAGATTCAAATTCTTTGTGTCAAGAAGTTAATAAATAACTAAACTACTCGCTTGAGAGCCAGCAACAAAGCAATTTGTTCTTGCCAACTGGAAGTGGTTAAATGATGAAAAATTGTCCTCTAAAGAGCTGAGTGATCCATGAATCTAATTTGTGAACCATACAGCATTCAGTGTGTTGTAGCACTGGGTATCTCATATTTTCTATATTAAGAGTAGTGAGATATGTCCGATGTCAGTGTCAGTTTATTCATTATATAGGTAATAACTCCAGGCAGGGTAATGGACAACAAGATATGACTAACCTTACAAAAACTATTTAAGTCATTTGGCCAGGGAGTGTTTATTTTCATTAACTTGTAAATATATCTTGTTCCTAAAATGTTATTCTAAAAGGTGTTTTAAAAATACTGTTCAGTCCAATAGGGATAAATAGTAAAACTATGGCAGCTTGGAAAAAATTAAACAAATAAATAAAAATATAAAAGACAAGGAAAATATAATTTTGAAAATGAAGAGTCATTTTGTTGAAGTACATAAACAGAGTTGTGTCTCTTGATGACATTGTTAACCACCCTGTACAATAATGATTTGATAGGAGGATAAACAAGAGCAGTGGAGAGGAGCTCAGGAAATAAACTCATATCTACATGAGAGTCAATACAAGAGAGAGCCTAATAGAAATTGTATTTTATGAAAATGTTCCTTTTAAAAACAAAAGCTGTAACAAAAGCAATATAGCCAGTTAATTATGTCTGCATTGCTTTTCCTGCTCTCATTTTTCCTGGACAAAACCTTCTAGGGATGAGATTGCAAGGGAACTGCTCTAATACAACCTGATATGAAGAGTTGCAGTGAACAAAATGTACAATTTTTTTTTTTTTAACTAACAGATCACCTTGTGATGAAAACACTTGTGCTTTATTTGTGGCTGCATCCTTTGCAGCTTCAAATGTTCCCTGCTAAAGAATCAGAGGGGCTTTGGAACCAATCACATTATTTACAGAACAGTTATTTCATACACAGCTATTTACAAAGTGAAGAGGAACCAAAGAAAAATAGAACCTTTGCCTCTTTAGACTTACTCAAATGCTTTCACAAGCATTTTATGGTCTTTCCTTGCAATAAACAAGTACAAGTGATTAAGCAATTTGCTTCAGTCTTTACTGATGAAAAGAATTTCCTCCTGTGTCTGCAATGCCTTGAGGTCTGGCTTTGATACCCAGATACAGATACACAACCAACTGGCCTATGGATAGAAGAGAGTCTTGAAGGAAAAGCAGAAAAGTTCATTTTGAGTGAAAAGGATGAATTCATATTAATAGCACTTACCTCAAAATGGCATTTAGCTCATTTGTAATATATTTCATGTTTGACTTTCTAAAAGGTCACAAAGGAGAATAAATGATGTCATTATTTATGGAGCGAGTAAAATGATCATTTTTAAAGATGAACTGCATTACCTTGTAAAACATGTCATACTTTTTTTAGTGAAAGTAAAAACTGTTGTTGGCTTATCCACTTGAAAAATGATTACTTAAAGCATTCTTTCCTGTTGGTATTTATAAAAGAAAACACGTTGTTGTGTTCAACTTTTTATTTAGATATGTAAAAAGTATTACCATAAATAGATCTGAAAAAATAAACTAAGATTAATTTTCAGAGGTATACAGCAATCACCTATATTAAGCATACTGCTGGATATGAAGAAATATAACTTCTCCCTTTCTTTAGTTATTCAAAATCAGTAAAGGTAATTAAAAAGACTATGTTCATACATGTCTCTATTTCATAGAGAAATGTGCTTTAAATTTATTTTATTCAAAAACTTTGGGCACATTACAGCATTACTTTCATGGAAAGCTACTCCAGTGAACCTAAATCTTCAAGGCTTTTAAATGGTTCAGTAATATTTAAACATGAAAAAAAAAAAAGACCCAAAAAAACCCCCACAAAAAACTGTATTCCATAGGACATACCCCAGTTTTCAGCAAGCTGTGGAAGTTAGCACTGAATAGAATTTCTGGCTGATTTTGGAATGGGAATGAGCAATCTTCTATGATTTGCTTGAGTTACATGGTACAGAGTTTCCACAGAGCTGCCAGAATCTGCTGTACACTCCAACAGCCAGACACTCCTGTGATGTATTTTCACAGATTTTATTTTCACAGTGGGAGGTGAATAAAACAATAAACATGTGTACAGCAAATACTTACCCCACAAAGCCCGCGCCTCGCTGTATCTGCTGCCTGCTGGATGTCATGGTGCATAAATCCCCTAATTGCACAGTGAAAGTCACATGTCTGGGACAGAAACAGCTCATGGAAAACTTTATTCCATAGGACATACCTCAGTTTTCAGCAAGCTGTGGAAGTTAGCACTGAATAGAATTTCTGGCTGATTTTGGAATGGGAATGAGCAATCTTCTATGATTTGCTTGAGTTACATGGTACAGAGTTTCCACAGAGCTGCCAGAATCTGCTGTACACTCCAACAGCCAGACACTCCTGTGATGTATTTTCACAGATTTTATTTTCACAGTGGGAGGTGAATAAAACAATAAACATGTGTACAGCAAATACTTACCCCACAAAGCCCGCGCCTCGCTGTATCTGCTGCCTGCTGGATGTCATGGTGCATAAATCCCCTAATTGCACAGTGAAAGTCACATGTCTGGGACAGAAACAGCTCATGGAAAACTTTTATGAGCTCTGGATTTTGTCCAATGTTATCTGTACTTTTCTAGTTGTGTTTTGAGTGACTTAGGCAGCCTCCCACGGCAGAAGCATTAAATGAATGAAGTTAAGCACGAGCATGGGAAATTGTGCATGCAAGAAAGAGCAAGCAAAGATCAGAGTCTGTCATGTTTCAAAGAGAATATATAAAGAACTGGTGGTTTAGTTCAAAATGTATCTTGCAGTAGTAGAGATTATTGCTAAATAGATTTATTCTCTACTTTCAAACTAACAGAATTACTTTTCTTTCTCTTACAGAATAATGATATAATCTATTACAATGCAAAAGACGATCAGAATGACGTAAGTAATATGTTTCATTTAATTTCATTGCCTGTAATCTCAGAAAATTAGGGGAATGAAAATATTAATGAAACTTTGAGACTATTATTTAAAGATTGGGCAGAAGCAAAAAAGCAAGAAACTTAAAAAAAGTCTTTAAAAGTTTTCTCAAGAGCCTGACAATATTTTATGTTTTAATTCTCAAAGTCTGTCTCCTTTCATACAGTTTGAATTACTGGTCAGGCAGAAAATGTGCTGGGACAATGAAGATCCTGACAGCAGTATAATTCACTTTTTGAAATGTAATAAAATCATAATTATAGGATTGGAGAATCAAAATGATAAATGTAAATAATTCAGTTCACTCTGAAGGAACCATTTTCTGGCCTTATTTTCCAAGATCATATGATGTTGTTCTGTATTCTTTGTAATAAATCTTTTACATGAGTAGGAAGAAGATGTGAAATGTTGCTGGATAATTATTTTCATTCACATTGTGATCATTTATGTGACTGTAATATGATTTGGGAAAACTGAAAATCCAATCACAAGATTTAGAGTAAATGTATGATACTTCAATTCCTGGTTTACTAAAACTCCTACTTTAAAAAGGTTGATGTCTCCTATCTACCATTAACTGTTAAAAATATTTATGTGTTCTGGAGACAATACAATCCTCACCTTCACTGGAGATAATACAACTGCTTGTCTTCATTACAGATTAAATTTATAAGACCATAGCAAAATGTTGTAAATGTATTAATCAGAATTGCCAGCATGCTTCATTTGCACTTTTTAATCAAGTATACTTTAGAGATTGATGGCATCACTATTTAATTGATGCTTCTGGTGTAAGGCAATTAAAGAAGGTACATAGATCATGTCAAACAGAACTATTTTATATGGTTATATAGAGTTATGCGTCCTTTGTTTCAGATACCACAAACTACTGTCCTGAGTTTTAGGCTTGCATGATTTAAGTAAAATTCATTAGAAGTAACCTAAATTTGAAATATATTATTCTGTTCTCATTAAATTCATTGGACAGCAGGTGCTAATCTTCTCTGGAAACAGAATTACAAAGCTTAAATATTGCATTTTTAATCTAAATATACCAGATAGTAATGGTAGACTGTGATGTGAAGTAAAAACTGTGGTGTATCTGTTAAGATTAAGTAGTACTGGGAATGGTCTTCAGATTACTACTTCTACAATCAAAATACAAATCTGTTTGGCAAGGCAAGAAAGGAAATACTATTTCAGAGCTGAGTCTTTGGTTTTTGTTGTGTTTTTTTTTTTTTTTTGTTTTTGTTGGTCTTTGGTTTTTGTTGTGTTTGGTTTTTTTTTTTTTTCTTCAGGACATTTATTTCCCTTCAAGAAAAAAGTACACACAAACACTAAAACAAACAAAGTTTGTTAGACCAGATATACTGTTTTATTTCTGTTTCAGTTTTATTTATTTTTTATGTCTTTCTGAACATTCATCAGAATAAAGTTTATAATAATATTTATTGTTGAGAAGTGATAAGGATACAATGGTCAGTGATCTCATAGTGATTTTTTTTTTGAGAAGACCTTCATCTAGATCTCAACTCTGTATGTAAATACCACAGATTCTTCCCTTCTCCTGCTTGAAAAAAAATGCTTGAGACAGCTTTTTTTCTTTAAATATTTAGAACTTTTAATAGAATCTTCTCTCAAGCACTGGTTAGTCAAACTGCTTGCAATTCATTCCTTTCTGTCTCTAACAAGTCACGCTTTTTTCCTCTTCCATGCTGTGAGTCTTCATTTATTCACAGGAAATTATATAATATTTATCTTTGAGTACAATCAAGAATAATTAGTAGCAGAAATTAATTAATTAAAATTAGACATCTAAACTAATCACTGTAGGTATCTCTAGAGAGGTGTTCAGTTTGTTTTGAGACAGATGTCTAAGGTTATCTGAACAGAATCATTTCTAGGTGTGTGTTTCTCTGTAAACAGGTCCCTGTAACAGATCCTTTCAGATCTTACATTTTGGATGCTGAAGAAATTAATCTCACAGGTTTTGCCTGCCAGTTTTTATTTGTCTTCACTCATCCTTTGAATATTGCAGCCTTTCCAGAAGTGCAGTCCTCCTAAATTCTGTGTAGGTTTCTGGTGTATGTTTATATGCTGCGGGACAGTTTTCTTTCCTTCTTCCCTTTCCCATACCACATTCAGGAGATCCTTCTCTCATTTTTCATCTGCTGTCCATATCGGCCTTTTCCAATCTAATGACTGGGTTTGTTTGTACTTAAAAGAAAAAAAAAAATAAAGAAGCACATGAAGGCAAATCATTCTCTAACCTAAATTTGAAATATATTATTCTGTTCTCATTAAATTCATTGGACAGCAGGTGCTAATCTTCTCTGGAAACAGAATTACAAAGCTTAAATATTGCATTTTTAATCTAAATATACCAGATAGTAATGGTAGACTGTGATGTGAAGTAAAAACTGTGGTGTATCTGTTAAGATTAAGTAGTACTGGGAATGGTCTTCAGATTACTACTTCTACAATCAAAATACAAATCTGTTTGGCAAGGCAAGAAAGGAAATACTATTTCAGAGCTGGGTCTTTGGTTTTTGTTGTGTTTGGTTTTTTTTTTTTTCTTCAGGATATTTATTTCCCTTCAAGAAAAAAGTCACACACACACTAAAACAAACAAAGTTTGTTAGACCAGATATACTGTTTTATGTCTGTTTCAGTTTTATTTATTTTTTATGTCTTTTTGAACATTCATCAGAATAAAGTTTGTAATAATATTTATTGTTGAGAAGTGATAAGGATACAATGGTCAGTGATCTCATAGTGATTTTTTTTTTGAGAAGACCTTCATCTAGATCTCAACTGTGTATGTAAACACCACAGATTCTTCCCTTCTCCTGCTTGAAAAAAAATGCTTGAGACAGCTTTTTTTCTTTAAATATTTAGAACTTTTAATAGAATCTTCTCTCAAGCACTGGTTAGTCAAACTGCTTGCAATTCATTCCTTTCTGTCTCTAACAAGTCACGCTTTTTTCCTCTTCCATGCTGTGAGTCTTCATTTATTCACAGGAAATTATATAATATTTATCTTTGAGTACAATCAAGAATAATTAGTAGCAGAAATTAATTAATTAAAATTAGACATCTAAACTAATCACTGTAGGTATCTCTAGAGAGGTGTTCAGTTTGTTTTGAGACAGATGTCTAAGGTTATCTGAACAGAATCATTTCTAGGTGTGTGTTTCTCTGTAAACAGGTCCCTGTAACAGATCCTTTCAGATCTTACATTTTGGATGCTGAAGAATTAGAAGAAATTAATCTCACAGGTTTTGCCTGCCAGTTTTTATTTGTCTTCACTCATCCTTTGAATATTGCAGCCTTTCCAGAAGTGCAGTCCTCCTAAATTCTGTGTAGGTTTCTGGTGTATGTTTATATGCTGCGGGACAGTTTTCTTTCCTTCTTCCCTTTCCCATACCACATTCAGGAGATCCTTCTCTCATTTTTCATCTGCTGTCCATATCGGCCTTTTCCAATCTAATGACTGGGTTTGTTTGTACTTAAAAGAAAAAAAAAAATAAAGAAGCACATGAAGGCAAATCATTCTCTGGCCTTTGGATTTCTCAGTCTCTCAGATAAAACGATCAATTTGTAACCCTGTAGTCCATCAATCAGTATTAGACCTTTTGTACTCTTTATCTTACAACAGCAATTGTACACTGCTTGCTTATTTCCCCCTCCCCACCAGCGCTCCATGTAATGTCTGAGAACTTGATGATTATTAATGAGTTTTATCCTCACAACAAGGTAGGAGGTATTATATTTCCATTTTTTATATCTCATAGGAAGATAATGGCCAAAGTTGTAATTTAGTATAGGTCTCTCAGGTTTCCATTCACTGTCCTTTTCCCAAGAACCCTTTCAGTTTGATATATTGCAGCCTGTTTGTGCACTTTAATTTGCAGGTGTCAACAGCTTGTTGTATTTGGACAAATGCTGCAGTGCTTTTATTGGACAACTGAGTAGTCCCACATTAAGCTGCTCTTTCCCATTAGTTTTCATATTGCTTTGCCTGTTTTCTCATCTTGTCCTTTGTATCCCCACCTTACTGATAGTAATTTTGCTTCACTGCTCAATTCTTTCCTCTTCTTTATTTTGGTTTCCATTTTATTTCCAGTAATTCCATGTTCAGTTTATTCCTAAAACTTTTTTTTTTATGTTTCCTTGTATTTAAGTAATCCACAACTCAACTGTACACTGAATTGCTCAATTGCATAATTTTCACATATCCTGAACTCCTTCCCTAATGTTTTTCTGATTTCCTCTTTACATCTTGCTTGCTTTCCAAATGTTTTAGTATAATTTCTTGTTGTGGTTGTTTAAACTTGTTCCTGGACAAGCTACAACAGGCTAAGGAAATGATTTTTTAATTATTTGATGGAAAGAACTAAGTAAAACAAATAAAGAAATGTCTCTCACATGAAACCAGCCACACATCATTGGAAGTCTCCAGTTTCCCTGTAATCCCTGGGCATTAATTGGGAGCAGCCAGTTGTATCTCTTGGCAGGAGTTGTGTCCCTAGTTAGCACAAGTGATTTATTAGACACTGCCTTCATGCAGTCTCATACTGGCTTGCAGTCATGGCTAACAGAGCTGTGCTCCTTGTGCAATTATTGATCACATACTAAGTGATAGTAGCATGTTTTCTTCATAGTAGCTCTAAAATTATAGGTCCCTTTGGACAGTAAATATCTGCACAAAGTGTGAGTTCAGACTGACTAGAAGTCAATGTGTGGGTTCCACTAGAGGCAAATACCTGGAACATCCCTATGATGGATTTTAAAAACAAAAATATATTTTATTACTTTATAATAAAGAAGGAAGAAATATTTTAAAACAATAAGCTGTCTGTGCCATATGGTTTAGGAATTTTTCCCAATTCAGTGATGCCTTGTTATCTTGGAATAATTTGTGAAACATTAGATCTCTTTGAGCTTAACCGCAACATAAA